GCCTGGGCAACATGGTGAAATCCTGTCTCTACTAAAAATACAAAACTAGCTGGGCATGGTGGTGCACACCTGTGATCCCAGCTACTCAGGAGGCCGAGGCAGGTGAATAGCTTGAACCCAGGAGGTAGAAGTTGTGGTGAGCCAAGATCATGCATAGCACTCCAGCCTGGGCAACAAGAGCAAAACTCCATCTCAAAAAAAAAAAAAAATGACCAGGTGCAGTGGCTCACTACCAAGACCAGCTCCGCCGTAGAGACCAGGCGGTGCTGAAGGAATTGAGAGGCAGACACCCCCCAGATAGAACAACGAAGTGGGACTATCCAAGGGGCCAGGAACCTTACGAGTTGAGAGCCTCAAGGACTGACAACATTCCAGGCTGAAGGCCTCAAGCAAACTCTGACCCACACATTTATTCTCTCTGAACAGGTGATGATTATTAACAAACAGAGGTTCGATATTTTCTCAAAACACAAAAACATACCAAGTAGGCAGCTGGTGCTCACTTACCACTGATCACAGACAAACTAAAAAGTATTCTCCATGAGGGAGCCATAGGGGCAGGGTCAGATGTCCCTCGCTTAAAGAATTGTTTTAACCAGTGTATGATATTTATATATTGTCCTGCCACTTTAGAATACTCCAAATCATTTTCTACTTGGCGTGGGGAGAGGGGCAAGGTTTTCCCAGCAAACAATATATTCTATCATTCACTCAGCATTTCTCAGCAATCATGCACTTCGCATTTCTCAACAACTTAACATTTCTCAACAGCTCACACCTGTAATCCCAGCACTTTGGGAGGCCAAGGCAGGCAGATCACCTGAGGTCAGGAGTTCAAGACCAACCTGGACAACATGGAGAAACCCTGTCTCCAAAAATACAAACATTAGCTGAGCATGGTGGCAGGAGCCTCTAGTCCCAGCTACTCAGGAGGCTAAGGCAGGAGAATCACTTGAACTGGGAAGTGGAGTTTGCAGTGAGCCAAGATCATGCCACTGCACTCCAGCCTGGATGAGAGTGAGACTCCGCCTCAAAAAAAACTCAAAAAAACAAACAAACTAACATCCACCAAGTTTTCTGCTTGACCCAGGCTCTAGGAAGGTTACTGGAGTTCAAAGAACACAGATACTTCCTCCTCTGGATACTCTTAATACTTTCTCTGTTCTCCTTCTACATCTTTTCTGCTTTGTTTGCTTGTGGTATGTGCCCCTAATTAGGATAGCTAGCTTTTTTTTTTTTTTTTTTTTTTTTTTTGAGGTGGAGTTTTGCTCTTGTTGCCCAGGCCAGAGTGCAATGATGAGATCTTGGCTCACTGCAACCTCCGCCTCCTGGGTTTAATCAATTATCCTGCCTCAACCTCCCAAGTAGTTGGGATTACAGGCTTGTGCCACCATGCCCAGCTAATTTTGTACTTTTAGTAGAAACGGAGTTTCTCCATGTTGGTCAGGCTGGTCTCGAACTCCCAACCTCAGGTGATCCACCCACCTCGGTGTCCCAAAGTGTTGGGATTACAGGCATGAGCTACCCCGCCTGGCCTGATAGCTAGCATTTATTTGGTACTAATGGTGTGCCATGTACCATGCCCATTTATTCTTGCAGTAACCTTAAATTGTTTCCATTTTAGGATGAGGAAATTGAAGCTCCGAGTGCTTAAGCAAAGGATCAAGGTCATACACCTAAGAACTGACAACCTGGGATGTAAAACTCTTGTCTGTCAGACACAAGAGTCTAAGCACATAACTACCAGGCTATGAAAACCACCTTCCAGGCTGGGCGCAGTGGCTCACACCTGTAATCCCAGCACTTTGGGAGGCTGAGGTGGACAGATCATGAGGTCATGAGTTTGAGACCAGTTTGACCAATATGGTAAAACCCCATTTCTACTAAAAAAATACAAAACTTAGCCGGGCGTGGTGTCGCAACCTGTAGTCCCAGCTACTCAGGAGGCTGAGTCAGGAGAATTGGTGGAACTCGGGAGGTGGAGGTTGCAGTGAGCCGAGATTATGCCACGGCACTCAAGCCTGGGCTATAGAGCGAGACTCTGTCTCAAAAAACAAAAAACAAAATACATTTCCACTCTTCCATGAACAGTATATGGATTCCCTAACAGCAGCCACAGAATGGCTTCAAACTCTGGTTCCTGCTAAAGACGGTTCATAATAGTGCCAATTTGATAGGTCATTAAGGTTAAATAAATTACCTAGAATTCAGATGACCAGCCGTAAGTTTTGCCAGGGACTGAGTGGGTTCCCAGGAACAGTTTCAAACTGGGGATGGCTGGGAGTGTGGCTTACTCCTGTAATCCTAGCATTTTGGGAGCCCAAGACAACAGATTCACTTGAGTTCAGGAGTTCAAGAACAGCCTCGGCAACATGGTGAGACCTTGTCTCTAACTTAGCTGGATATGGTACCACATGCCTGTAGCCACAGTTACTCAGGAGGCTGAGGTGGTAAGATCGCTTGAGCCCAAGAGGTCGAGCTTCAGTGAGCTGTGATCGCACCACTGCATTCCAGCCTGGGCAATAGAGTGAGACCCTGTCTCAAAACAAGACAAAACAAAACAAAACCCCAGGCATTGTGGCACAATACCTGTGGTTCCAGCTACTGGGGAGACTGAGGTGGGAGGATCATTCGAGCCTGGAAGGTCAAGGATGCAGTGAGCCATGATCATAGCACTGCACACCAGCTTGGGCAACAGAGCAAGACTCTGTTTCTAAAAAAATAAATAGGCTGGGCATGGTGGCTCATGCCTGTAATCCTAGCACTTTGAGAGGCTGAGGCTGGTGGATCACTTGAGGCCAGGAGTTCAAGACCAGCCTGGCCAAATGACGAAACCCCATCTCCACTAAAAATACAAAAATTAGCCAGGCATGGTGGCACACGCCTGTAGTCCCAGCTATTTGGGAGGCTGAGGCAGGAGAATCACTTGAATCCAGGAGACAGAGGTTGCAGTGAGACAAGATTGCACCACTGCATTGCAGCCTGGGTGAATGAGCAAGACTGTTTCAAAAAAATTAATTAATTAATTAAAAAAAAGGAAATGGAACTATTTTTGTGACTCTGTAGATTATATCAGCACACACACACACACACAGAGAGAGAGAGAGAGAGAGAGAGAGAGAGAGAGAGAGAGAGAGAGAGAGAGAGAGAGAGAGACACAGTGGAGAAAGTCCTAGGCAAATCAGGACAAGTTAGTCATCCTTCCCAGAAGAGTACTTGGGGCTAAATACATGCTTAGTGGACATGATTATTGCTTCCCTTTTCTTTCAGCTATTTGGCAACAAAAGGTGGCAAGAACCCACTCTGTGCCCTGTCCCAGGGTTTGGGAACCCTGTAAGCAGTAGATGCAGGTGGGAGTGGGAGTAGGCTGTGGGGGTGCTGTGCAGAGCACCTTGCTCCAAGGGTTCATTTAAAAATCTACCAGTGGATCACCTGAGGTCAGGAGTTCGAGTTCGAGATCAGCCTGACCAATATGGTGAAACCTTGCCTCTACTAAAAATACAAAAATTAGTTGGGCGAGGTGGCTCATGCCTGTAATCCCAGCACTTTGGGAGGCCAAGGCAGGCAGATCATGAGGTTAGGAGTTCAAGACCAGCCTGACCAACATGGTGAAACCCGGTATCTACTAAAAATGCAAAAATTAGCCAGGCATGGTGGCATGGGTCTGTAATAATCCCAGCTACTCAGGAGGCTGAGGCAGGAGAATCACTTGAACCTGGGAGGCGGATGTTGCAGTGAGCCAAGATTGCGTCATTGCACTCCAGGCTGGGTGACAGAAACTCTCTCAAAATAAAAAAAAAAAAGAAAGGAAAGAAGGAGGGAAAGAAAAGAAAGAAAAAAGAAAAAGAAAGAGAGAGAGAGAAAGAAAGATTAGAAAAATTAGCTGGGTGTGGTGATGGGTGCCTGTAGTCCCAGCTACTCAGGAGGCTGAAGTGGGAGGATTGCTTGAGCCCAGGAGTTAGAGATCAGCCTGTCATAGAGAGACCCTGTCTTAAATAAATAAAATAATAATTTTTTGTCAAAAAAAAAAAAAAAGGCCAGGTGCAGTGGCTCACACCTGTAATCCCAGCACTTTGGGAAGTCAAAGCAATCTCTCTCTGGAAGGCAGTGGTTGCAGTGAGCTGAGATCACGCCACTGCACTACAGCCTGGGTGACAGAGTGAAACTCCATCTCAAAAAAAAAAAAAAAAAAAATCCATCAGCCCTGAGAAATGGCAAACCTTCCTCCTCTAGGGTGATTCCAGTTGCTGGTGTGGTGTGTTCCTTGGCTGATAGCACTTGCCTAGATTTGCTTTCCCAAGTGGGAAAGGTCTCCAGGTGATGACACAGAGACAGATGGGTGGGACCTATAGCAAAGCCAAGCAAGGAGGTCCTGAGATGATGATGGGTGGCAGGGAAGGAAAAAATGTGCCTTGACATTGTGCCTGGACTTGGTCACAATAAAGGCCTAAGAGGTAGTTCCTATCATCGTGCACATTTAGCAAAGTAAGAAACTGAGGGTCAGTGACCCAAGTGAAGTGACTTGCCCAAGATCGTGCCAGGAAGACATGGGTAATTGTAATTTGAACCAAGGTCCCAGCAAAGCAGAATTGTTGGGGCTGAGTGGGCTGACTCCTGCACTTCCTTCCCTCTCCCTGGGCTTGGGTCCCCCACTTGTCCAGACAGCGGCTGGGCTTGTCACGGGGCTCCGTACAGCCTTTTTCCCTCACCCAGCTGCCAGCGACCCGCCCCGTCCCCTCCCAGCCCCCGGAGGAGGAGGGGAGAGCTGCAGAGAGGAGGAGGGGTCGGGGAGGCCCGGCTTTATAAAAGAGGCTGGAACAGCCCTGCTCGCCAGACCCGGTCGCTCGGATCCCCTAAGCTGCCCGCCACCCCACGTGACCGCGCCGCCCCCCAGCTCCACCGCTAAGTGAGTTGGGGCGCGTCCCCATCCCGTCCCCAGTTCCTCGCCGAGCCGCGTGGGCACTGAAGCTGAGGTGGGGAGGAGAGCCGCTGAAGGAGGGCGCTGACACGGGGGACACCAGGCAGAATATCTGATGGGAGAGATTTAGGACCTGAGGGAGCCGGGAGACCCGAGAGACCATGGCCTGGTCGGCCACCCGCTCTCTTCCCCGGGCGCGAGGCCTAGGAGACCGCAAGCCACCCTCCAGGAATGCGCGTGCAGTCGTTGCCATGGCAACGTGCAAGCCTGCGCGGACCCACTGCTAAAGGAAAGGGGAGGTTGTTGGGGGGTGTGGGGGCTGGTCCCTGGCGGTCCAAATTCATCACGCGGCGGTAGCACGAGGGAACTGGGGACGTCCCCTCCCCCGTGTCCCATATCCTTTGGGAGCCACAGCGCAAGTCGCATCGCCTCTCTGAGCCTCAGTTTCCATATCTGCCAAATGGAGACAAGATTATTGGTTCCAAGTTCCCCGAAGAGTTATCTGGAGGGTAACGATCCAGGCCAGTCTACACTTATGGTTGGACGTCCAAGGAATGGGTTTACACCGCTCAGATAACTCCTGCGACCCCACCCCACCCACAGGCCCGCTCGCCATGGCCCTCTATGAGGCCCTTTTCCTGGCGCTGCTGGTAGGCGCTCACGCAGAGCTCCCAGGCTGCAAGATTCGCGTCACCTCCAAGGCGCTGGAGCTGGGTAAGGCGCAGGGGCAGACAGGGACGGACGGGAAAGGACGGGGGTAGGGGTCGCCCCAACAGTGTGAGTGGGAGCTAAGGGTCTCGCTTCTGCCTCAGTGAAGCAGGAGGGGCTGCGTTTTCTGGAGCAAGAACTGGAGACCATCACCATTCCGGACCTGCGGGGCAAAGAGGGCCACTTCTACTACAACATCTCTGAGTAAGTGGGAGGCGGGGCCTCGCGATCCGGGGCGGGGCCTCGGCGGTGGAGGCGGGGCCCGAGAAATCTCGGGGTCTCGGGAGACTGGAGGCTGAGTGGGAGGGGGCGTGGCCAAGCCGATGAGGCACGACTTAAAAAACCGGATGGGGCCGAAAAGATACCTAGCAAGCCATCATAGGCGGGACCAGGCAAATGGGCGTGGCCTGGAGGAGGTAGGTGGGGCCAAGAAGAAAGCAGCAGAACTCGTGGATGTGAGGCGTGGCCGAAGAGCACCAGATAGGTGGAGTAAAGGAACTTGCCAATGGATAAGAGTGGAGTCTTGGGCATGGGGTGGAGCTAATGAGATGGGTGGGGGAACTCAAGGCTCTACGTTTGGTTTAGGATGGGGGGGACTAAGAGATAAGGGGCGGAGCTTAGGTGATGGAAGCAAAGTGAACCTCTGTTAAAAGACCGGTTCTAGACTGGGCGTGGTGGCTCATGCCTGTAATCCTAGCACTTTGGTGAGGCTGAGGCGAGTGGATCACCTGAGGTTAAGAGTTCAAAACCAGCCTGGACAGCATGGTGAAACCTCGTCTCTACTAAAAATGCAAAAATCAGCCAAGCGTGGTGGTGGGCGCCTGCAAACCCAGCTACTTGGGAGGCTGAGGCAGGAGAATCGCTTCAACTCAGGAGGCGGAGGTTACAGTGAGCCGAGATCATGCCATGGCACTCCAGCCTGAGCTTGAGAGAGAGATTCTGTCTCAAAATAGATAAATAAATAAATAAAAGTTAAAAAGACTGAGTCTAGCAACCCCAGGATGTGGGAGGGGAGGTGGTGCAAGCAAACAAGACTTTTTCTTTTTTTTTTTTTTGAGAGGGAGTCTTGCTCTGTTGCCCCGGCTAGAGTGCAGTGGCACGATCTTGGCTCACTGCAATCTCTGCATCTTGAGTTCAAGTGATTCTCCTGCCTGAGCCTCCAGAGTAGCTGGGACTATAGGCTCATGCCACCACGCCCAGCTACTTTTTGTATTTTTAATAGATACGGGGGTTTCACCATGTTGACCAGGCTGGTCTCAAACTTCTGACCTCAAGTGACCTGCCTGCCTCGGCCTCCCAAAGTGCTGGGATTACAGGCATGAGCTACCTTGCCCAGCAAACAAGCAAACAAGACTTCTAAGTGATGGGGTTAAGCTCACTTTTAACACCTGGAACAGGAAGACCTCATCTCTCAGCCACCCAAGTTCAACTTTGAGTCACCCAAGTCTAAGTTGGGCACTTGAGAGACAATGGAAGAAGAATTCATTCCACCCACTCCCACTTCCCCAAGCCTGGACTTGAAAGAGGAGCAGACACATTTCCTGTGGCTGGGTGGAGTTCTCTCTGCTTGCCCTGGATCTGACCCTGAGGTTGCCTGTAGGGTGAAGGTCACAGAGCTGCAGCTGACATCTTCCGAGCTCGATTTCCAGCCACAGCAGGAACTGATGCTACAAATCACCAATGCCTCCTTGGGGCTGCAGTTCCGGAGACAGCTGCTCTACTGGTTCTTGTAAGGGCCCAGCATCCTCAGGGAAGTGGAGGGTGGGTCAGGAGGGCCCGAGGTGCTGTGGGGCTGTGGGCAACCCCCTTAGCCTTCCTGAGTTTTAGTTTCTTCATCTGTACAATAGGAACAAGCATATTCACTTCATAAGAGTTGATTGGAGGGTTTGGTAGGATGTGTGGAAGGAAGTGAAACCTTACTAAGAGGTATCATGATGCATGGGGGCACTGAGGACTAATTAAGCTCCTACCTGGAGTGAATATTAACCCCCTTGGCAGCTATGATGGGGGCTACATCAACGCCTCAGCTGAGGGTGTGTTCATCCGCACTGGTCTGGAGCTGTCCCGGGATCCCACTGGCCGGATGAAAGTGTCCAATGTTTCCTGCCAGGCTTCTGTCTCCAGGATGCATGCGGCCTTTGGTGGAACCTTCAAGTAAGTCCCATCCCCAACCCCAGCTCACCCCTTTTGAGCCCCATAGCTCATCTGCCTAGCGCAATGCAAAGTGCACAGGCTTGGGAATCAGACCAACTGAGTCCAAAGCTCAGCTCTGTCACTTCCTGGCTGTGTGAACTTGGGCAAGTCACTGAAGCTCAGTGCCTTGATATCATCACAGGTAACATGGAGATAATAGTAAAGCCTATTTTATAAGCTCATTGCCAGGATTGTGTTGGTACATGTAAAAATATGTAGAACAGCACTTGGCATATGATAAATGCATATTTAAGTGCTGGCCACTTAGATATGAGTAATTGTGAGGACTAATATGCACAGTTGGCTATGTACTGGATTCTCAATTGGTATCTCTAAATAATTATAACAAAAATAATATATATATATATATATATATATATATATATATATATATATATCTTTTTAGATGGAGTCTCGCTCTGTTGCCCAGGCTGGAATGCACAATGTTAGCTCACTGCAACCTCCACCTCCTGGGTTCAAGCGATTCTCCTGCCTCAGCCTCCTAAGTAGCTGGGACTACAGGGATGCACCACCATGCCCAGCTACTTTTTTTGTATTTTTAGTAGAGATGGGGTTTTACCACATTGGCTAGGCTGGTCTCAAACTCCTGACCTCAGATGATCCTCCCACCTCGGCCTCCCAAAGGGCTGGGATTACAGGTGTGAGCCACTGTGCCTGGCCTATTTTTTAATTTTTCCTGCTGAGAAGGAGATATGGTTTTTGTTCTGGAAGAGGGTGGGGGAAAGAACATGGTGGATTATCACCTGGTGCTGGTACACTGACAGTATTATTTATTCATCAAAGTATATGCCAGGCTCTGAGAATGCAGGAAGGAGCTCAGAGTCTATCTGGAGTAAGAAACATTTGTTGTCAGGGTCTGGAGAGAGGGACTAAGAAAGTGCTTTGGGGATTCAGAGGAGAGGAATCTGGGAAGACAGCCTGGAAGAGGAAGCATCTGAGTTCAGATGGGAAATTACAGGGTAGGAACGCAGAGGGTGGAAGGGATGGATGTGGGGATGCTCAGAGCGGGTTTGAAGCACTGCGGGTGGATTCATTTGGCTGGTGGGAGCAGCGAGTAGGTCGCGAGGTCTTGAGGATCAGGCTGAAGAGGGAATTTGGGCCTGGTTCTTGGAAAACCTTCATGGAGGAGCTATTATTTAGGCTGAAGCTGAGGACTCCCACTGCCACTATTTCCCTCACTGATTTCTCCTGGATCTGGACCTGGACTGGGGCAGGGGCAGGTTCTGGGCTCACCTGGCCTCTCCTCTCCTCGCAGGAAGGTGTATGAGTTTCTCTCCACGTTCATCACCTCAGGGATGCGCTTCCTCCTCAACCAGCAGGTGTGGGCAGTGGCAGGTTGTGGGGTGGCCAGGGTGGGCATGCTCTCACTTTGAGAAGGCCCTGACTCTGACCCACCTCGCAGATCTGCCCCGTACTCTACCATGCAGGGACGGTCCTGCTCAACTCCCTCCTGGACACCATTCCTGGTGAGTTGGTGGGGGGTGAGGCCAGGTGTGCAGCTGTCATGCAGCACCTCAGAGCAGGCCCCTTCCAAGCCCTGCTGTTGAACAGTCCTGGGTTCAAATGTGGCCTCTGGAGCTGATTTGCTTTGTGATTTTGGGTAAGTGCTGATTTCTCTCTGGGCAAAGTGCTTGTTTTCTCACTTGGCTGGCAGTACCTCCTCCTGGGCTTGCTGTGAGGGTTATCCGAGAATAGCTGTCAAGGTCCTCAATATGTGTGTGCTGATAACTGGCATCTCATTTGTCTTCATCACCTAGAATGTAATAGGTGCTCAATTAACATAAATTCCCTTTTTCTAAGCCATGACCTCTGTCTCCTGTGGGGGAAAGATATTGTCCCATCACACACAGGCATGAGAAGGGAAGGAGGAGGTAGGAGAAACCAAGGGAAAGGAACCCCATCCCATCTTTTTTTTTTTTTTTTTGAGATGGAGTCTTGCTCTGCCACCCAGGCTGGAGTGCAGTGGTGTAATCTTGGTTTACTGCAACCTCCACCTCCTAGGTTCAGTAATTCTCCTGCCCCAGCCTCCTGAGTAGCTGGGATTACAGGCACCCACCACCATGCCTGGCTAGTTTTTGTATTTTTAGTAGAGACAGGGTTTCACCATGTTGGACCAGGCTGCTCTCGAACTCAAGCTGAGATTGCACCACTGCACTCCAGCCTGGCACCTGGCAATGGAGCAAGAATCTGTCTCAAAAAAAAAAAAAAAAAAAAAAACAAAAAACTAATTTGATCCTCATGACAAGCCTATGAGGGATGAATGTATCATCATCTGAGCCCAGAGAAGTTAAGCACCTTGTCCCATATCACACAGCTGTGAGTGACTTGAGCCCCTTCCTGCAGTGCGCAGTTCTGTGGATGACCTCGTTGGCATTGACTACTCCCTCATGAAGGATCCTGTGGCTTCTACCAGCAACCTGGACATGGACTTCCGGGTGAGCTGCTTGGGCTGGTTGTATAACCTCTGACCTCCTAAAGAGACTTCTTTCTCTGCTAAATTGCATGATTTTACTTCCTAAAGCACAGTTCTGATGAGCCCACTCTCAATAGTGAGAATGCTATGGCCACCTATTACTACAGAAATAAGTTCAGTCTCCTGGGTCTGGCATTTGAGCCCTGTTAATTTTACCTGGCCCCATCTTTTTTTTTTCTGAGACGAAGTTTTGCTCTTGTTGCCCAGGCTGGAGTGCAATGGTGCCATCTGGGCTCACTGCAATCTCTGCCTCCCCGGTTCAAGCGATTCTCCTGCCTCAGCCTCCCAAGTAGCTTACTACAGGTGCGTGCCACCATGCCCAGCTAATTTTCTTTCTTTCCTTTTTTTTTTTTTTTTGAGATGGAGTTTCACTCTTGTTACCCAGGCTGGAGTGCAATGGCGCAATCTCAGCTCACCGCAACCTCCGCCTCCGGGGTTGAGGTAATTCTCCTGCCTCAGCCTCCTGAGTAGCTGGGATTACAGGCACGTGCCACTATGCCCAGCTAATTTTTTGTATTTTGTAGAGACAGGGTTTTACCATGTTGACCAGGATGGTCTCGATCTCTTGACTTCGTGATCCACCCGCCTCAGCCTCCCAAAGTGCTGAGATTACAGGCTTGAGCCACCGCGCCTGGCTAATTTTCATATTTTTAGTAGATACAGGGGTTTCACCATGTTGGTCAGGCTGGCCTCAAACTCCTGACCTCAGGTGATCCACCCACCTCAGCCTCCCAAAGTGCTGGGATTACAGGCGTTAGCCAATGCATTCTGCCTGGTCCCATCTTTTAAATCTTATCCTGTTTCTTTGCTGTTCCCCAAATTGACCCCTCGATTCCCACCTCAGGGCCTTTGCTCATGCATGGCCTTTCCCCAGCTCCCTTGAAGGAGTTGGACACAAATCTCTATGCAAATAATCTCATTTCATCCTCTCACAACTCTGTGAGTCAGGTAGTAACATCATCCTCATTTTAGGGATGTTGAGACTTACTTGTAGAGGTGACATCACTTGCCCAAGGCCACGTAGCTATGTGTAGACACTACCTTTGGTCTTCCAGAGTATAGCAGTTTCAGAGTGCAGACTCGGGAGCTAGAATCAGTTAGGTGCAGTGGTCCATGCCTGTAATCCCAATACTTTGGGAGGCCAAGGTGAGAGGATTGCTTGAGCCCAGGAATTTGAGACCAGTTTGGGCATCATAGCGAGACCCCATCTCTACAGGAAAAGAAAAAGAACGCCCGAAAAGTTCAAATCCTAGCTCTGCCACTGACTGGCTGCATGGCCCTAAGCATAACTTTTCAGTGTCTGTGTAATGGAAATAATCCAGTAAGAAAGCATACATTGCTATGCAGATTAGAGTTGATCTAGGTAAACAGCTTAGAGAACTTGGCACAGAAGCTTGATGAGTCTGCACAGTATATGTAAACAGTAGCTGTTGTTACTGCCTCTAGCTTTCAAGGCCCACTCACATGTCACCTCTTCTGTGAAACCTTTTGTGACCCTCCCTCCTCCAGTCTGACGGGCTCCCTGCCTTGTAGCAGGTGTCCTCCCTCCAATGCCTTTTAAGAGATGTGCTTGGCTGGGCGCGGTGGCTCACGCCTATAATCCCAGCACTTTGGGAGGCCGAGGCAGGTGGATCACCAAGTCAAGAGATCGAGACCATACTGGTCAACGAGGTGAAACCCCGTCTCTACTAAAAATACAAAAATTAGCTGGGCATGGTGGTGCGCGCCTGTAGTCCCAGCTACTCGGGAGGCGAAACTCCGTCTCAAAAAAGAGATGTGCTTGTTGGCCTGGCACAGTGGCTCATGCCTGTAATCCCAGTACTTTGGAAGGCCAAGGTGGGTGGATCACAAGGTTAGAAGTTTGAGAGCAGTCTGGCCAACATACTGAAACCCTGTCTCTACTAAAAATACAAAAAATTAGCCGGGTGTGGTGGTATGCGCCTGTAATCTCAGCTACTTGAGAGGCTGAGGCAGGAGAATCATGTGAACCCGGGAGGTAGAGTATGCAGTGAGCCAAGAAAGCGTCATTGCACTCCAGCCTGGCGACAGTGCGAGACTCCATCTCAAAAGCCAAAAAAAACAAACAAACAACAAGAGATGTGCTTGTGAGTCCACCAAGAACAGCAGCTGGGTTCCTGCCATCCCCCCACAATGCCTAGCACAGGGCCAAGAGGTATCTGCTGTCAGTCCAGTCTGCCTCAACCCTGACCCTGAGTGCCCCACCCCAGGGGGCCTTCTTCCCCCTGACAGAAAAGAACTGGAGTCTCCCCAACCGGGCGGTGGAGCCCCAGCTGCAGGAGGAGGAGCGGATGGTGTATGTGGCCTTCTCTGAGTTCTTCTTCGACTCTGCCATGGAGAGCTACTTCCGGGCAGGGGCCTTGCAGCTCTCGCTGGTGGGGGACAAGGTATGCCAGGGCCAGTTTGTGGGATGGGCAAGAGGGGGGTCTGTGACAGAGCCCACTCTCTCACTCCTGATTCCCCTGTTCAGGTGCCCCATGACCTGGATATGCTGTTGAGGGCCAGCTACTTTGGGAGCATTGTCCTGCTGGTGAGTGCTGGCGAGGGGCAGGGATAGGGCTACCTGCATGCCAGTGAGACCAGGGAGGGGTGCAGGTGGGGATCCCAGTGGCAGCCACACAGACAGGGGCCTGGTCTCTTGTCTGTGGCCAGTCCCCTCTGCCTTGTCATGGCTATTCCCATCTGTGAAGGAGGCTGGTCCTTCCTGCTCCTTCCTGCCCTGTCTCCTTCGCAGAGTTGCTGAGGATGAGAGAGAACTCAAGCTTTGCAAGTATGGGGGCTTTAATAATAATTAACATATTCTTTTGCTTATGGGGGAAGGGAGTAAGAGTTACACATTTTATTTATTGTTTGAGACAGAGTTTCACTCTGTCATCCAAGTTGGAATGCAGTGGCACAATCTAGGCTCACTGCAACTTCTGCCTCCCGGGGCTCAAGTCATCTTCTTGCTTCAGCCTCTTGAGTGAGTAGCTGAGACCACAGACTTGTGCCACCACGCCCTGCTAATTTTTATATTTTGTTGAGACAGGGTTTTGCCATGTTGCTCAGTCTTGAACTCCTGGGCCCAACTGATCCACCCATCTTCACCTCCCAAAGTGATGGAATTATAGGTGTGAGCCACCCACCACACCCAACAGAGTTCCACATTTCAGAAGAAATAATTCAGTCGCTGTCATCATCAAATTTATGGCTAAGCAATTAAGGGCAGGGTTTCTGTTATCAGACTGTCTGGGCTTCAAGCCCAGTTCTGAAACTGAGTACATAAGCTCTACAAGTTACTTAACCTCCCTGTGCCTCAATTTCCCCATCTCAAAAATGGGATTAGGGCTGGGTGTGATGGCTCATGCCTATACTCTGAGGATTTTGAGAGGCCAAGGTGGGAAAACTGTTTGAGCCCAAGAGCTTGAGACCAGCCTGGGCAATATAGTGAGACCCTATCCCTATTGAAAAATAAATATTTAGTCAGATTTTCTTTGGAGAGGGGGACAGAGTCTCACTCTGTCACCCAGGGTGGAGTGCAGTGGCACAGTTTTGACCCACTGCAACTTCTGCCTGACAGGTTCAAGCGATTCTTATGCCATGGCACCCAGCCTGAAAAATAAATTTCAAAAAGAAATAAACAACAACCATCGAGTGCAGCCCTACAGGGTCCCGTGAGCCCCTCTCTGCTGGTGTGGAGATGAGAAACTGTGGAAACAAAAGACACAAGACAGAGATAGAGAAAAGAGAGTTTGGGCCCAGGGGTCCATGCCAACCAAGGTGCAGAGTCCGGCAGTGGCCCCAAGTGCCTGGACGCTCTGACTTTTATTGCATACACAGCAGGGGGCAGGGCAGGTAGGCTGAGGTAATGGTGGTTAGTGATAGGGTCACATAAATCATGTGTCTTGGAGACAGGGGCCCAAGACTTTGAAGAAGCCAAGGCAAGGAGAACTTTTTTCATACTTGTAAAGAAATAACAAGGTCACTAAGATTTATGTTACTATTACTAATTCTTATCTTCAAAGAAAAAGAGGAACCAGGTGCAGAAGCAGAACTTAAAAGTAGCTATAGAATGTGACCGCTGAAGCACAGCACCACAGAGAGACAATTAAGTCCCCGGATGTTTGTGGGTCTCTCTGACAGCTGTCAGGCCTGCCACAAGAGCTTGGGAGAGCGCTTGGATGTCTCCGTCCCTAGCCGGCTAACAGTGGGCGCTTTCCCAACGCTGATGCTGCTGCACAGCCGAGGCACCCTCCAGCAGCCCTTATGCAGGCGTGACAGAGGGCTTAGAGCATCTTGCCTTAGGGTCACCTCTTTTCCAGTGCCACTTCAGTCCCATATTTAGTGACCTGAGACTTATTAGTAAGATTAAAGATTATATATGTATATATTTATGATTACATATAAATAGCTATGTGATTATTTATATATATAGGAATAACTATTGAACTGTTTCTCTAATTCCTTTCTAGTTCTATATTTATATGAGAACATGCTGAAGCTTCAGACCCTTGACTTGGCTCTTGCAGGGTTTTCCCCCCTGCAAACAACAAAATTGGCAGTAATAATACCTGCCTCAAATGTTTGTTATGAGGTTTAAAGGAGCCAACACATATACAGTGTTTAGAATCATGTTTGGTGAAGATTAGGCAGTTGCATCTTACAGTGTTCCTACGCTGCCTATAGAAGAAAGCATAGCAGTTTAGAGAAAGAAGATATGGCCGGGCGCGGTGGCTCACACCTGTAATCCCAGCACTTTGGGAGGCTGAGGTGGGGGAATCACCCAAAGTCATGAGTTTGAGACCAGCCTGGCCAACATGGCGAAACTCCATCTCTACTAAAAATACAAAATAGCTAGGTGTGGTGGCGGGCACCTGTAATCCCAGCTACATGGGAGGCTGAGGCGAGAAATCACCTGAACCCGGGAGACAGAGTAGCAGTGAGCTGAGATCGCACCACTCCACTCCAGCCTGGGCAACAGAGACTCTGTATAAAAAAAAAAAAGATATGACAAGGGGCTGAGATACAAATGCAAAAAGGACATTCATGAAGAGTCTGGATTGGAGATGGACCTGAATATTGAGAGGTATTCAGGAAGCAGAAGAGAAGAATACATTCCTGTTCCTTTGTGTGGCAAAGGCATGAAGGCTAGATGCAGCTCTGAGGGTTCTGGAAGCCACAGCTGTCTCTGTATTTGCAATATCTGAGTCCCCAGGTCCCCAGAGGGCAGAAGCCGCACCTGCCTTCCTTCCCCTTCTTCCCTGGGGGCTCTACAGGAAACAGCAGGGACTTGACCCACCCCTGCTGCCCATCCCCCAGAGCCCAGCAGTGATTGACTCCCCACTGAAGCTGGAGCTGCGTGTTCTGGCCCCACCGCACTGCACCATCAAGCCTGCTGGCACCACCATCTCCGTCACTGCCAGCGTCACCATTGCCCTGGTCCCACCAGACCAGCCTGAGGTCCAGCTGTCCAGCATGACTATGGTGCGGATCCCAGAGTGGGGGCTGCTGGCCAGGGGTCAGGGAGAAATGGGCTATGGGTTACTGATTTTTTGGGTCAGTAACATCCTCCTCCCCATGTTCCCGAAGGATGCCCGTCTCAGCGCCAAGATGGCTCTCCGGGGGAAGGCCCTGCGCACGCAGCTGGACCTGCGCAGGTAGGCAGGCACACCTCCCTGCATCTCAGTGTCTTGGGGACAATCCCACCTGTCCACTGGGATGTTGGAGCTAAAATTCAGTCATACCTATAAGCCACTGAGAGCTGGGGTCTGTCTTTGTTAATGTACACAAAAGTGCTTTGGTAAAGCCTAACTCCTCTGCATTCTCGCACATCCCAGAGGCAGGCAGGGCAGATATGAGAGATGAGCAAATGGGTCCACAAGGTTAAATAACATGGCCACAGTCACACAGCAAAGATCAGAACGTGGGTTTTGATAAAAACCTCAGCACAACACAGCTTTGTGACCTTGAGGCTATTTTATCTTTCTTTTTTAAAAATGTTATTCCTTCCCCCTACCCCGCCACCGAGATGGACTTTTGCTCTTGTTGCTCACGTTGAAGTGCAATGGTGAGATCTTGACTTACTGCAACCTCTACCTCCTGGGTTCAGGCAATTCTCCTGCCTCAGCCTCCCAAGTAGCTGGGATTACAGGCGTGCACCACCACATCCAGCTAATTTTTGCATTTTTAGTAGAGACAGGGTTTCAACATGTTGGTCAGGCTGGTCTGGAACTCCTGACCTCAAGTGATCTACCTGTCCTGGCCTCCCAAAGTGCTGGGATTACAGCCACGAGCCACTGCACCTGGCCTTATTCTTTTATTTTTACTGTATTTATTTCTGAGATGGTCTCAGTCTGTTGCCCAGGCTGGATTGCAGTGGTGCAGTCATAGCTCACTGCAGCCTTAATCTCCTGGGCTCAAGTGATCCTCTAGCCTCAGCCTCCCAAGTAACCGAGACTACATGTGTGCACCACCATGCCTAACTATTTTATATTTTGTAGAGACAGGGTCTCACTTTGTTGCCCAGGTTGGTCTCCAATTCTTGGGCTCAAGTGATCTGCCCACCTTAGCCTCCCAAAATGCTGGGATTACGGGCATGAGCCGCCATACCCAGCCCATTCTGTCTTTCTAGGCTTCATTTTCTACATGTGTTTAGTACAGGTAAAAGTAGCATCTGCCTTCTAGGGCTGTGTTGGCCAATATGGTAGACTAGCCACATGTGACTATTTACGTTTAAGTTAATTACAATTAAATAGTTTTGGCTGGGTGCCATGGCTCACGTCTGTAATCCCAACACTTTGGGAGGCTGAGGCGGGTGGATCATGAGGTCAGGAGATTGAGACCATCCTGGCTAACATGGTTAAATCCTCTCTCTACTAAAAATACAAAAAAAATTAGCTGGGCATGGTGGCGTGTGCCTGTAGTCCCAGCTACTCAGGAGGCTAAGGCAGGAGAATCGCTTGAACCCAGGAGGCGGGAGTTGCAGTGAGCCGAGATCATGCCACTGCACTCCAGCCTGGGCAATAGAGTGAGACTGTGTCTCAAAGAAACAAAAAACAAAATAGTTTTCCAGTTGCACTAAGCCACATTTCATAGAAAATCCGACTGGACAGTGCTGTTCTAGGGCTACAGATGATGTAGGACCCCAGGTTTTAGAGGCAGGTTCTGACACTTCCCAGCTGTGTGACTTCAGGCATACTTAACCTTGCGGGGCCTCATTTTCCTCATTTATAAAGTGCAAATCCTAATAGTGCCTACTCCTCAGGCTTGTTAGAAGGACTAAATCGGTTGGTACTGTATTTTAAAATATTTGATATTAACTTTTTAAACATGTTGGCTGGGCGCAGTGGCTCACACCTGTAATCTCAACACTTTGGGAGACTGAGGTGGGTAGATTGCTTGAGGCCAGTTCAATACCAGCCTGAGCTACGAAGTGAGATCCTGTCTCTACAAATAATTTAAAAGTTGCCGGGTATCGTGGCTCATGCCTGTAATCCCAGCACTTTGGGATGCTGAGGTGGGCAGATCACCTGAGGTCAGGAGTTCGAGACCAGCCTGGCCAACCCCATCTCTACTAAAAGTACAAAAAATTAGCTGGGTGTGGTGGCGGGCACCTGAAATCCCAGCTACTCAGGAGGCTGAGGCAGGAGAATCGCTGGAACCTGGAGGCAGAGATTGCAGTGAGTCGAGATCGTGCCACTGCACTCCAGCCTCAACCCAGGAGGCAGAGCTTGCAGTGAGCCAAGATTGCGCCACTGCACTCCAGCCTGGGTAACAAGAGAGAAACTCCGTCTCAAAAAAAAGAGACTCCATCTCAAAAACAGAAAAAGAAAAAAGAAAATTTAAAAGTTAGCCTGTCATGGTAATGCAGGCCTGTGGTCCCAGGTACTTGGGAACCTGAGGTGGGAAGCTGACCTGAGCCCTGGAGGTCAAAGCCACAGTGAGCTGAAATTGCACCACTACCTTCCAGCCTGGGCAACACAGTGAGACCCTGCCTCAAAAAAAAAGTAAATAAATATGCTTAGTGTCGGACAGGAACTAAGCAATGTGAGTTTTGTTAAATAAAATAACACCTGCAAAGCCACCAGCAGAAGTGTGGAACATTAGAAGTGCTCAATAAATAAACAGTAGCAGACTTGGAGAAAAGGAGACCCACGAGGGAGCAGTGACTGGCCCAGGGATACCTGTAAAGTTGTAGCACCTGGAAAGGTGCCTGGGTGGGGCGTCTGAGCCTGCAGCTCATGCACCTCTGGCAGGTAGGCCTGGTGGCCTGAGGAAGGGGAGCTTCCAGGCTTCATGCCCACAGGGCTTTCTCTCCCGCAGGTTTCGAATCTATTCCAACCAGTCTGCACTGGAATCGCTGGCTGTGAGTGGGGAAGGGTGGGTGGGCTGGGCTGGGGTCAGAGTGGGCAGGTAAAGGCAAGCCCACCCCCCACTCGCTGCCCTGTTTCCCCCCTCCCCTCCCAGCTGATCCCATTACAGGCCCCTCTGAAGACCTTGCTGCAGATAGCAGTGATGCCCATGCTCAATGGTAAGGCTGGGGAGTGAGGACAGAGGAAGGAAGGAGGGCTGAGCTGGGCAGACCCAGACTGAGCCGGGTGCTCCCACCCACAGAGCGGACCTGGCGTGGGGTGCAGATCCCACTACCTGAGGGTATCAACTTTGTGCGTGAGGTGGTGACGAACCATGCGGTGAGTGGGGGGTGGGATGGGGAAGGAGGGCAGGGCTTTTCCCCTCTATAACCCCCCAGTGCCCTCCACCAACTGACCCCAGCTCCTCACTTACCAGTCCCCAGCTCCTGTTTTAATCTTAAGACTCCTAAAAGCCTTTGCACACACTGTAACTTCTCTTTAGAGCACTCTTCTTCTTTCCCAACACCTACTAATCTTTCAGGTCTTAGATCAGAGGTCACCTCCTCCAAGAAGCCCTCCTTGGTACCCATAGTCTATAGTCCTAAAGCCTCGTTTTAGCACCTTGACAAGGAATTACCCATTAGATTGAGCCCCTGAAGGACAAAGACTCTTTAAACTCTGGCTTCAGTAACTGAATGAATAAATGAGACTCCCCTCTCTGTCCCCTGAACAGGGCTTCCTCACCATTGGGGCTGATCTCCACTTTGCCAAAGGGCTTCGAGAGGTGATTGAGAAGAACCGGCCTGCTGATGTCATGGCATCCACTGCCCCCCCACCCTCCACAGCAGCTGTCTGAGCCCTCGAACCCCACACTGGCAGCTGTCATTCAGGACTCCAACCCCTCTTTCCCCACATTCGTATCCTATAGTGGCCCCTCTAACCCCCAGTGCCACAGAGAAGACGGGGTTTGAAGCTGTATCCAATTTAATTCCATAATCAGTGAATCCATCAATTATAGTCCTTCCACCACCTCCCAGTGGGTTGTCCTGAGCTCTGTTGGGTTCCTGGGATGTGATCAGTGCATCATAAAGGGCATTCTTTAAGCAGAGAGGGGGCCAGGCCACCCCATTCAGGAACTACTGAGAACGAAGTGCTAACCTACCCCCAGGCTGTCTGTGGGAGTCCCAGAGGCAGAACCTGCCCTGCAGGGGCACTTTGCTTACAAGAGGACTCTCCTAGCAGGAGAGGCTAGGAGGAACTGCAGCAGGCCGTGGGGAAGCTGGTCGCTGTGGTCATCAGTATGGCTGCTTGTTCAGGAAGCGGGAGAACATGGTGAAGGCAGCGAGGGGCTTGTCGGTGGGGACCATGTGTCCAGCGCCCTGAGGAGCAACGTTTGTGAGATTCTGACCCCCATTCCCTCCTCATATAACTGCTCACCCGTGGGGGCTTCCTTCATCCCAAGTCCTTTATTCTTCCCAGAACCCTCCCCACCCCTCTTCAAAAAAAACTTGCCCATACAGGGGCTGGATGGTGACCCATGACCCAGCATAAAAGGCAGCCGGAGGGAAAGGACGGGTGGGCCCTGCTCCTTTGCCTCTGGCCCAGTTATCTCTCAGCAGGCTCAGGCCCTACCTTGATAGTGAGAAAGGCAATGTGGGAGAACTCCTTCACGAAGCCAGCAATCTGCTCCCCGCTGTCCCCATACTTCACTAACCAGGGCCGGCGCTGCACCTCCATCTGCTCCACCAGGAAAGACATCAGCCTACAGCAGCTGCATCCTTGCTCACAGCTGCCAGCAAGACCTCGGGGTTGGGAATTCCTCCACTTGCCCTCTGTGGACCATAGCCAGGCAGCCAGCCGGCCGCTCCCAGGCATACCCACCCCCAACCTCCAAAGCAGCCCTATCCCAGGGCCAGGAATCTCTGCCTTACCTTCTGGTTGAGGGAATCCACAAACCACTCATCCCCCATGAAATTGCAGGCCATGTCTACATCTCCATTATATAATAGGATCTGGTATTTCTAAAGTAAGATGGGGTAAAAATGAGGGGTGGAAGAAGCCCAGGCCCCAGCCCTTCCCTAGTTCGAGGCCTACCCCTCAGGGAATTCAAGGGGATGAGCTAGATAGCACGAACCAGGGAATTCTCACGTTCCTGATGACTTACTGCATGTCCGGTGTTCTGCTAAACGTTTTACCTTTGAAGGTAGATATCATTATCCCCATTTTACAGATGGGCAACCTGAAGTTCATGATATTTAAGAAATTTGCCCAAGATTATGTGGCAAATTTAACCGCTGTGCTGGACAGAATCTACTCCTAACTTGGCCCTGCCAGTGCCTCCTACATGAACTTGGACAAGGTCTCCTCCCACCCTGGACCTCTGTTGGCCTGTTTTTGGCATGAATGAAGCTCCTCTCACCATTAAGGCTCTTTGGCTGGTGAAGACCTTCTATAGCAGGGTGGCATGGGTGGGGATAAACCCAGGTTCAAATCCTGACTCTGCACAGCCTTTTAGAATTTCAGCTTCCCCTGTCCTGACGGGAAGTCTAAAGGGGCGCCCAGCTTGCTGTGCTACTCTGGGGTCCTAAGGCTGCTAGTGGATCCAGCTGTGCTGTCCCCACTCACCTGTGAGCTAAGCAGCTTCAGATACTGGGAGTTCATGCTTCGGTAGAGACGGCGGTACTGTAGGTTTACCAGGAAGCTGCCAGGAACACATGAGGAGGCCCCAGGAAGACCAGGTAGGGACAAAAAGTAGTCAACAGATTAAATCTCTCCTATCTCCAAGCTTCAACCCAGGAGGCAAACAGCTGGGTTCCACTACCGTTTTTAGGGGGTCAGCTTTTCTAGGACCTGGATGATGGGCTGGGATTCGGAGAGCCTCAACTCACCCCCATTTAGACATGTATAGGGACATGTTCGGTTGTTACGAGGACTGGGATGCAACTGGCATTTAGTGTCTAGGGGCCAGCAGGTGTGAGAGTCACAGCATATAACGGGAGAGTGTGGCCACTGAATAATCAAAATGGACCTGAGCAGCCCCTGCTGGGCCCAGTGTCACCCTTTTACTTGTTGGGGGTCACAGGAGATTGGACATGGAAGTAATAGTTTGTTATTGTTTTTTGAGACAGAGTTTCACTCTTGCTGCCCAGGCTGGAGTGCAGTGGCCCAATCTTGGCTCACTGCAACCTCCACCTCCCAGGTTTAAGTGATTCTCCTGCCTCAGCCTCCCGAATAGCTGGCATTACAGGCAGCCACCACCACACCCAGCTAATTTTTGTATTTTTAGTAGAGACGGGGTTTCACCATGTTGGTTAGGCTGGTCTTGAACTCCTAACCTCAGGTGATCTGCCTGCCTCATTCCCCTAAAGTGCTGGGATTATAGGCGTGAGAAACGGCACCCAGCTAGAAGTAATATCGTTAATGACCAATGTGATGGCCAGGTGTGGGGGCTCATGCCTGTAATCCCAGCACTTTGGGAGGCCAAGGAGAGAGGACTGCTTGAGACAGAAGATCCCTGGGAATGTGCCGACACCCTCAAGCCCCAGCAACCTGCCACCCCAAGTCACGGGTGGCCATGGAGCCTTACTTGCACATGTCCCATTGGGGCAGCTGCTCCGGGATGTGGAGGGCCTTCCGCACGTATGGGTTGTTGAGGTAGGTGGACGCAGCTGTGGTGTTGGTGCAGGGGGGGTCCATGCGCACTTTATTCCCCGAACGCAGCAGTGCCTGGAGGGCACCGACAAAGGGTCAGAGCCTCTGCTTCCTTGCCTCTCCCCACACCCTCACTTCACCAGGAGGAAGCCCATGCCCTTGCACACCTGATGCCACGTCCGCTTCATTGGCAGGAGAGTGAAGATGTTGCCCAAATCCTGGACCACAACAGTGTCCTTCTCATACCTGCATGTGAAGTGGAGGGATGAGTGTGGAGCCTCCAGATCGGGCTGGGATGGGCCCCAGGGGCACCTGGCAGTACCTACCTAAAATGGCTGGGCACCCCTCCAGCACATGGAGCATAGAGGTTGTAGATGTTGAGGCCGGAGTTGCCCACGATGCGGGACACTTCCTGAAGCTGCAATACACACCAAGCTACCATGCTTTCCAGATCCCCGGTCCCTCCACCACCCACCAAGTTGTCCCAAGATATACTGCTCTTGTATTTCACCTCTTCACCCTTTACCCACTTTTTTCACAGGTAGGGAAACTGAGGCTCAGTGGCAGGAATCTTCCCAGACCTGGGTCCAAATCCTAGTGTCACTGTCTCCTAACACTGTGACTTCAGACAGTGATTTCAAATTCATGGCCCTCAGTTTCATGTGGGTAGTATGATCTTTCAGGGGGAATCTTGAAGCTTAAATAATCTACATAGACACAGTTCAGCACAATGCCTGTCACAGTACAGGTGTTCCATAAATGTGAAGGAGTCCTATCTCCCTCACGGAGGTTATGGGATTTGCCACCATAGGAGGTGCAGGTGGTGGGAATACACACTTAGACACGTGTCCCAGAGAACACTAAATTGCTTAAAGGTGCAAGATAAGAAAGCAATGAGGGATGGAGAACAAGGATTCCCCAAGGAGGGAATGTGATCCTGTTCTCAGGATTAGGGATGGCAGCGCTGATGCAAAGTGACGGCAGAACCTCACATTGGTCACGCATTCCGGGTCTTTATTGTCATAGAAGTTACACTTGTTTTGAGAGCAGCAGTGGGTCTGGAGAGAAGACCAGAGCCTGTAGGAGATGAGAGGAAAAGTGCATCAGCCTCTAGTGGAAAGAGGAAGGCAGAGGAGGTGAGCATACCCCCCACCTCCTACCAACCTCTCTGACCCTAGGGGACTAGGAAAGATATCACGGGGTGTGGTCTGTATATCACCTAAGCTAGCTCCCAAAGAGGTGCCCCAGGGTCATAAAAACAGGTCTCCTTTAAAATCTGATCTCTGGCTGGGCACTGTGGCTCATGTCTGTAATCCCAGCATTTTGGGAAGCCAAGGTGGGCAGATCACTTGAGGCCAGGAGTTCAAGTCCAGCCTGGCCAACATGGCAAAACCCCATCTCTACTAAAAATACAAAAAATTAGGCAGGCGTGGTGGTGTGAGCAGTGGTAGTCCCAGCTGCTTAGGGAGGCTGAGGCACAAGAATCACTTGAACCTGGGAGGTGTAGATTTCAGTGAGCCAAGATCGTGCCACTGCACTCTAGCCTGGGAGACAGAGTGAGACTCTGTCTCAAAAAAAAAAAGAAAATCTGATCTTTATTCTTTGGTTTTTTTTGGCGCTAAGTTCTTTCTGCAACTCACCAGCTGCTCATAAACCTGGGATGGGCCTGGCATATCATGTACCTGGAGGACAGACCCAAGATCATGTAACCTGCCCCACCCTAGAGATTGCCCAACTGCCCTATCCCATACCTGTTCCCCAGAAGGCCATGGTAGTAGGCAAAGTAGACCAGGGAGTTGTCATTCTGCTCATAGGAGGAGAGTCCATTGCCCACAGCCAGCCCCTGTGAAACACCCAGGGTGCTCAGCTCAGGTGGAGGATGAGGAGGAGGAGCCTCCCTCACCTAACACCCAGACCTTCAGCAATCCGGAAGCTGAAACCCAGGATGGTTTGTGGGGGCGGGTGGGTGTGGGAGGCCACTCAATGCAAAGGACAGAGCTGGCAGCCTGACAAGTGAGTTTCCTGCTATGGGAGGCACACAGACAGTCCTAGGGCAGCCACGGCAGGGAGGTTATGCAGGAAATTGGGTTGGATGGGGATGCTGACCACTCTGACCTTGCTAACTGCAAGGCCACAGTCACAAGGTGCCTCCCTTCCCTCTTGCAACTGCCCTGCACCTGAAGGTTCATGCTGGGGTCTTGCATGACCAGCACGGCCAGGGTGGGGATGTAGATGCCAGCATAGCTCTCTCCAGTCAGGAAAAGTTTGTTGTTCTTGTACTCCGGAAAGAGGCGGAAGAAATCTTGAAGGGCCTCAAAATTGCTCTGGGCGACCTGGGGACGGGAAAGCAAGACAGAGGGTAATCAGGAAGCTTTGGTATTTGGACTAGAAAGAACCTCAGCGATAATGACATCAATCCACCCTGTTTATGTAAGAGGAAGTGACTTGGCCACTATACCACAATGGCATAGGACAGAGCTAAAAGTGGACTCCAAGGCCAGGCTCTTTCTCCCATCATCGGGCCATGTATGGAGGACTGGGGAGCCTGGGGCAGATGGGCAGGCACAGGACTCACCTCAGTGTCATTGGTCGCATAAAATTTGTCATCAGAGTAGGAGAAGCCCACCCCCGCTGGGGACTCCAGGTATAACACATTGGCAATCTAGAGCGGAGGGAAAAATGAGCTAACCGCCACCCCATCCAAGTGCCCAGACACCTCCACAGGACCCACAGCTCCAGCTATACCAGGTTCCAAGAATAGGGGTTGTACTCCAGGGTGACACCATCTGGCTGGATCTGAGGAGGAGGAGATGGTTGGGTAAGTCTCATGGTGGAGGGAAAGGGCCACTATAAGAGGCACTTTACATGGCAAAACCCCTCAGAGGTACAGGCAGCAAAGCCAAAGGCACAGGAAAATCCCGATGCTCAGGAGTAAGGAAAACTTTTTGGAAAATCACAAAGTCCCTTCCTCCCTTTCCCCAGCCTTTTGCTTTGGGAACTGTGCTTTCCTGCTGCTGTCCACTCACCAGGAAGGGGCCATGCTCTGTGAGGAGCCCATCTAGGGAGCTGCAGCCGGGACCCCCATTGAGCCAAAGCACCACAGGGCTGTTCTCGGGATCCTTCTGGGACTCCACAAACCTGGGAGGGGTGTCAGAGCAGGGTTGGCGCCAAGTGGAGGGGCCCTTTCCAGCCCTCCGGGCTCCCAGGCATCCTCAGGGGTCTGCGAAACTACCCCCCACCCCTCCTCCATCATCTCTCCCCCCAATCCCGCTCAGAGACAGGGCGGCAGACCAGTAGTGGAGGTGCTTGGAGCCGGAGCCTTTGAGGTAGCCGGAGAACTGGCGGAAAGATGGCTGTTTGGCCAGCCCGGGGAGGCACTGGATCTCGTCCTGGTCGGGGGCTGCCTCGCCTAGGGGCGCCCAGAACACTAGCGGCAGCAGCAGCAGAAACAGCGGCGGCGGCGAGGCTCGGATCATCTGCGGGAGGCAGCAGAGGGGCTGTGGACTCGCTCCTCAGCGCTTCTGCGCCGCAGTCCCCGGGAAGGAGCTGAGGGCGCCTCCGCGAGGGAAACCCCGGCCCCAGCGCCAGCTCCCACCCGCGAGCCTCCTCCGCCGCGCACCGATCCCGGGCTCGGGGAACCCCTGCAGCCTCCAGTGCCAGCTCACCTCTGCTCCCCCGCGTCCTTCCTCTCCTGGAGGCGCCCGGGAACTGCAGATCATGTGTACTCCGAGTCACGTGAGCTCCGGCGCCACGTGACAGTCTTCCCCCCACCCCCCCGCCCCTACTTCGGTGCCTACGGGCTGGGGGGCGGTGGAGGTCAATGCCGGGTCAAGGTCTGCGGGCTTCGCGGGTCGTAGCCCGGGCGCACGCGATTAGATGATCCTGGTGTGGACGGCCAAGTTCTAGGCGGGATGACTGAGTGAGCGGCGCTAGGACCCCCGGGCAGAAGCTCCGGGAAGGGAGCCACGGGGGAAATGCCTTACAAGGTCCCCTTGCGGTGACCATCCGATCCCGGCGCCCAAAATAGCCCCAGGCGCCCGCTGGCCTGCCTCATGGCTGGGAGATGGCTGCCGCCTCCGAGCCCGTGGATTCGGGTGCATTCTGGGGACCGGTGCGCCCGGAGCCCCCTCCCACCCGCTTCCATCGGGTGCATGGTGCCAACATCCGCGTAGACCCCTCTGGGATGCGGGCCACACGTGTGGAGAGCTTCGCCCACGGCGTGTGTTTCAGCCGCGAGCCGCTGGCCCCGGGACAGGTCTTCCTGGTCGAGATCGAGGAGAAAGAGCTGGGCTGGTGCGGACATCTGCGTCTCGGCCTGACTGCGCTGGACCCCGCCAGTCTGGCCGCCGTGCCCGAGTTTTCTCTGCCCGACCTCGTCAACCTGGGCCACACCTGGGTCTTCGCCATCACGCGCCACCACAACCGCGTGCCCCGAGAGGACAGCCCGGAGGCGGAGGCGGAGGCAGCGGCCCCCAGCCGACCTCCGGCCCTCCTGGTGGAACCATATCTGTGCATTGAGCAGTTTCGCATTCCCCGGGACCGCCTGGTGGGCCGGAGCCGGCCAGGGCTCTACAGCCACCTCTTAGACCAGCTCTATGAGCTGAACGTGCTGCCTCCGACCGCGCGCCGTAGCCGCCTGGGCGTCCTCTTCTGCCCGCGCCCTGATGGCACGGCCAACATGCACATCGTCATCAACGGCGAGGACATGGGCCCGAGCGCCCGGGGACTGCCAGCTGCGCAGCCCCTCTATGCGGTGGTGGACGTGTTTGCTTCCACCAAGAGCGTGCGCCTTGTCCAGCTCGAGTATGGCTGTAGGTATCCCTGGGCAACGACCCCTCCTGGCTCAGTGTGGGGACAGGAAGCTGCTAGGACTCCCTAGCCAACTTGCTAGGCCTTGGTTTGTCCGGCACTAGTTTAAGAAGGGGAGAATCGGCCAGGCGCGGTGGCTCAAGCCTGTAATTCCAGCACTTTGGGAGGCCGAGGCGGGCGGATTACCCGAGGTCAGGAGCTCAAGGCCAGCTTTGCCAACATGGTGAAACCTTGTTTCTATTAAATATACAAAAATTAGCGAGGCATGGTGGCAGGCACCTGTACAGGGAGGCTGAAGTAGGAGAATCGCTTGAACCCTTGAAGTAGGCAGAGGTTGCAGTGAGCCTAGATCACACCACTGCACTCCAGCCTGGGCAGCAGAGCAAGCCTCCATCTCAAAAAAAAAAAAGAGTGAGAGAATCCAGCTTCAAGTTGCACCTCTACTTGTGCTCTTGCACAAGCCTCTACCTGGCTTTGGGCCTTGGTACCCATCTTGGCTGATTAAGATGCCCTACAAGTTCTCTTTTAGTTTTGACGGTGTTACCTCTATTCACCTAGGGCTGGGATTCTAAACCGATTTTAGATATTAGGGGCCTCTTTGAGAATTGTTTGCCCTTTTCTTACTAATATGTTTGGCCAGGCATGGTGGCACACACCTGTAATCCCAGCACTTTGGGAGGCCGAGGCAGGAGAATGCTTGAACCTTGAGGTGGAGGTTGCAATGAGTCGGGATCTCACCAGTGATCACTTGAGACCAGGAGTTCGAGATCAGCCTGGCCAACGTGGTGAAACCCCCTCTCTACTAAAAATACAAACATTAGCTGGGCATGGTGATGTGCACCTGTAATCCCAGCTACTGGGGAGGCTGAGGCAGGAGAATCACTTGAACCTGGAGGTGGAGGTTGCAGTGAGCCAGGATCTCACTAGTGCACTCCAGCCTGGGCAACAGAGTGAGACTCTGTCTCAAAAAAGAAAGAAACATGATCAAGGCTGGGCAACAAAGTGAGACCCCCATCTCTACACAAAATTAAATGATTATCTGGGCATGGTGGCACATGCCTGTAGTCCCAGCTATTTGGGAGGCTAAGGCAGGAGAATCGCTTGAGCCCAAGAATTGAAAACTGCAGTGAGCTATGACCACTGCACTTCAGCCTGGGTAACAGAGCAAGACCCTCTCTCTTTTTTTTTTTTTCTGGTCTGAGATGGAGTCTTGCTCTGTCACCCAGGCTGGAGTACAGTAGTTGTGCAATCTCAGCTCACTGCAACCTCCGCTTCCTGAGTTCAAGCAATTCTCCTGACTCAGCCTCCCAAGTAGCTGAGATTACAGGCATGTATCACCAAGCCTGGCTAATTTTTACATTCTTAGTAGAGACGGGATTTCACCATGTTGACCAGACTGGTCTTGAACTCTTGACCTCGTGACCCGCCTACCTCACTCAGCCTCTCAAAGTGCTGGGATTACAGTCATGAGCCACCACATCCAGGCCAACCCTCCCTCTAAATAAAAAAAAAAAAAAAAAAACGCTCATAGACTTGGGCATATTGACTTAGAGGCATCACAAAACCCAGACAGAGCTTCTTAATGCTGAGGTATGGTTCACTGTAGCCCTGGTAAGAATTTTAGTTATACCTCTGATCATATTTTGTGAATTCAATGAACCCGAACCCTCTCTGTGCCAGGCCTGTGCTGGAGGCTGCAGTTACACAGGCAAATCAGACAGTACCCCTGTCCCCAGAAGCTGCTAAGTGACCGGGAAGGGATTGTGCTAAGTGCTATGGTATACACAGGAGTGCAGCACTGTGATAGCTCTTGGGAAGATGTGCTTCTCTCAGCCCCATGAAGCAGGCTGGGCCCAGAGAGCAGTAAGGACTTGCCCACATTTAATGGCAAAGTGGGGACCAAGACCTAGATCTTCTGTGTCTTGGCCTCAGACCCACCTTCCAGTTCAGTTTGCCTTTCACAGCCTTCTTCCCACAGTGCCGTCCCTGCAGACTCTGTGCCGCCTAGTGATACAGCGGAGCCTGGTGCACCGGCTGGCCATTGATGGGCTCCACCTGCCCAAAGAACTTAAGGATTTCTGCAAATATGAGTGAAGACCTGCAGTGCACCTGGAGCAGGAGTGCATCCCGGGGCCCCAGACCTGTGGCTAGCTGGTCTGAAGTTGGTCACACCGCTGCTGGGCAGGACCAGAAATAAACAGTTGATGCTGACATCTTGATCACTGGAAGGTCTCCTTGCCCCTACAGCCAATGAGAGGCACTTCTTTTAGAATCACTGCAGGTCCGAGCAAGAGAGCATTTTAGATACCATCTAGACCAGTGGTCCCTAGGATGGCTGATTGTCAGAGTCATCTTGGGATATGTAAAGAGTGCTGGTGTCCCACACCCCATCTCTAGGGATTCGTATTTTATTTGTTGGGAAATTAGGCTGAGACATTGTTTTTTGTAAAAGCTTCTCAAGATCTCCTCATGTATAGCCAGGGCTAAGAAGCATGTTCCTGGAGTAGCGGTTCCAAATTTGTCATGTATTAAAATCACTTGAGGAACTTTGAAAAATACCAATACCTGGCCTGTAATCCCAGCACTTTGGGAGGCCTAGGTGGGTGGATCACTTGAGGTCAGTAGTTTGAGACCAGCCTGGCCAACATGGTGAAACCCTGTCTCTACTGAAAATACAAAAGTTAGCCAGGCATGGTGGCGGGTGCCTGTAGTCGAAGCCTCTCAGGAGGCTGAGACAGGAGAATCACATGAACCCAGGAGGTGGAGGTTGCAGTGAACTGAGGTCTTGCCACTACCCTCCAGCCTTCCAGCCTAGGCAACAGAGTGAGACTCCATCTCAAAAAAAGAAAAAGAAAAATACCAATACCTTGGTCTGACCCCAGGTCTCACGCTACAAGCCTCTTGTATTTCCATCTCTGGTCATTTGCTTCCATACAAATGATCTCATTTCATCCTCAAAACTCCTAATGAGGTAGTGGCAGTCATCAGACCCACTTTACAGATGAGCATATCAAGGAACAAAACTATCTAGGTTACTTGTCCAAGGGTAAGGGCAAGAACCTAGAACATCCATCTCCTGGTCTGGTGCTCTTTTAACCTCATCCTATTGTCATACTCAGGTTCTAGAATGAAGAGGTCAGTGCTGTAAGGTGGGTCTGAGTGTAACAGGGAGGGTCTATGAGGTGACATTCTAGAAGGGTGAAGAAGGGAGGACAGGAGGCAGATCACTATTCCCTCACAAACAGGGGCTTTGGGGCAGCCATGTCCTACTTCAGGACTCCACAAACTCATCCAAGTCCTCTGTCTTCTGGCCAAGGTGAGTGGGAGGCACCTGTGATTGGAGGGAGTGCTGTAGCTTCTGAGAAGTTGCTTTCTGGCTCTAGGGAGGTGGTGGTTCCACTGGGCATTTGGGGGCTGGCCCTAGAATCAGTTCTTTTAGAAGAAAGGCCATTCTAAATGTGCTTGCCAATCAATAATTACCTGCTTGCTCAGTATTCGTTCAGCAAACACTTGCCATCACCTACTCTGTGCTGGGGACTGGGAGTGTGGGTATGAGTAACACCTAGTTCCCAGCCTCTAGACAGTCCACTGGGGCTGGTCTTAGTTATGCCCCCCAAACTCTGCTCTCATGCCCTGCCCCTCAGGGCCCCTTCCTCAAAGAGAACGAGAATAACTTTACATTTCATTTCTGTCTCTGCAGGTGGGGCTGCTTCTCCAGGCTTGTCCCTTGGTCTCTGTAGTCCTGTAGAGCCAGCGGTGATGGCCTCTGGTGGAATAGGCCCAGTGGGCCAGAAAACTAAGCAGGCGACACCTACTGCCCAGGCCTGGGGCCCAGCCTTGGCAATGCCACAAGCCAGGGGCTGCCCTTGGGGGACTAGCTGGGAGACACTACGGAGGAAGGAATACAGCCAATACTGCCACAAATTCCCACACATGAGACAACTGGAGAGCTTGGGCTGGGAGAATGGCTACTCCAGAAGCAGAGCCCCTGAAGTTCTGCCAGTACCCCCTGAGGCAATGGGGAAGGAGGCCAGCTCCCAGCCTGACATCTGCATCCTCACCCTCGCTATGATGATCGCTGGCATCCCCACTGTGCCTGTCCCAGGCGTACGGGAAGAGGACCTGATCTGGGCCGCTCAAGCTTTCATGATGGCCCATCCAGAGCCAGAGGGTGCTGGGGAGGGGGCGTGGTGGGAGCAGGCACATGCCTGCTCTGGCACAGCCTCTGGGAAGGTACCCATATTGAGACCCAAGAGGGGCCAGCCTCCTGGCTCCTGCTTGTAGCTGGATGAAATAGCACCAGATACGTATGGTGGCTTCTATGTATGGTTCTTGGGGAGACAGGCTTGGGAGAAGAGCCTATGGCAGGGATGGGGATAGCATGGGTGGTTCAGCCATTCTGACAAATTCCAGTCCTTCATTAGGGACTTCCACACCCTAGAAAGTATCTCTAGTTACCACTAAGACAGGAGATAGGTTTTGTCAGGTAGATAATTGAAATTACCTGAGATAGGGGCCCCTGCTTGGAGAGTTGAGACTGCTTTTACGTTGTTTTGAAGACTTGATCAGAATTTTTTTTTTTTTTTTTTTGAGACAGGGTCTCACTCTGTCACCCAGGCTGGAGTGCAGTGGCACGATCACAGCTTACTGCAGCCTCAACCTCCTGGGCTCAAGTGATCTTCCCACCTCCTCAGCCTTTCTGAGTAGCCGGGATTACAGGCATGTGCCACATCCAGCTAATTTTTGTGTTTTTTGTAGAGAAGGGGTTTTGCCATGTTGCTAGGATGCTCTGCTCTGCCTCCTTTGGCCTTCCAAGGTGTTGGATTAGAGGCGTGAGCCATCATGCCTGGCCTGCCCATAATTTCATATTAAGTCCTAGGCATGTGAATTCTCCTCTTGCCTTAAATTTCCCAGCATGTTGATGGCAGGTCATAAGACCATAGACAAGGAAAGAAAATTAATACTTAATTGAGTACCTGCTAGGTACACCTGCTCTGTAAACTTACCCTGTGAAGATCCCTGGTCCCCATTTTTATAGATAATCAAGTTGAGGTTTAGAGAGGTGACTTACCCTAATAAGTCTCATAGCTAGTAAAAGGCAGAACCAGGCACAAAAAACAAGCAGGGAAGGAACCAACCAGGATTCACGTGTTATATAACACTCTTAAGTCTATTCTTTCCATAATATACCCTAAACTATCTGCTATGGAAAAAAGGAAAACTAGACAAGTAGTAGAATATGCAACATTCAGTTTTATTGACCCCAGGATGGGACAAGGAAAAAAGTTCAGGGAGCCTGGCTGAGCCAGCTCCCTAGAGGGGCCTCTTTCCCTGTAGGAAGCCTCCCAGCCCAGCTCAGTCAAAGATGGGTCAGGTTAGTCATCTCATGACTGGGCCAACTGCTACCAAGCCCCAACCCTCAACCTCACCACCTGATGTCTTATCTCTAATTTTAGACCAGGGGGTTGCCTGTTTTTTTTTTCTTTTTTCTTTTTTAGACTGAGTCTCACCCTCCCAGGCTGGAGTGCAGTGGCAACAGAATCTTGGCTCACTGCAACCTCTGCCTTCCAGGTTCTAGCGATTCTCCTGCCTCAGCCTCCTGGGTAGCTGGGATTACAGGCACCCACAACCATGCCTGGCTAATTTTAGTATTTTTAGGAGAGACGGGGTTTCGCCATGTTGGCCAGGATGGTCTTGAACTCCTGACCTCAAATGGTCTGCCCACTTTCGCCTCCAGAAGTGCTGGGATTACAAGCATGTGTCACCACACCCAGCCAGCTTGCCAGTTTTTCTAAGACCTTTGAGCTAAGAATGGTTTTACCTTATGAAAATGTTAAAACCAAGAATATACCTCAGAGACTTTATGTGGCCAACAGAGTAAACTATTTACTATCAGGCCCTTTACAGATAAGATTTGCTGACTCCTGTCTCATGGAGCTAGACACATGCTATGTAGCAGGCCATGGTAGATGAGAAGACGCTTGAACCTTGTCCTTATTCTGGAAGGAGGGACCACGGAAGTACAACAGTGTAACTATGTGTGTATGCGTGTATAGGGGCAGATGTGAGTGTGCACAGGTGCACAAGCATCTCTGGGGGCTAAGAATAATCAGAGTTGGACCTGCTCATAAGGTCCAATCCAGCTGTCAGCCAATTCCCGCAGAGTGTTGTACCTCCGCTCAAACTCCTCCTTGCTGCAGTACTGCAACAGCCGACCCACCTCCTCGGTGAGGTGAGTCACTGCCAGGTGCTTATCCAAGGTCTCACTCCACTTGCTGCCCAGGATGCTGTCTAGACTGGTGGCACAGCCTGCCGTCCACTGAGCTGGCAGCATGTCAGGCTGGAGCACCTGGTGGCGGGCACTGAGCATGGCTAGGATGTGGCGGCAGGGAAGGTGAAAGGCCTGGTTAAAGTAGCAGCTGCAGCTGGCAGGGGGCTGGGGCTGTACCTTGTGGGTGTCTTCCAGGATCTGTATGTTCATCTTTTCTGAACCAGAGCCAATGAGGTGTATGGATTTCTGGACCACAGCAAGCTCACCCAGGCAGAGCTGGGCTGCTGGCCCTGTGCAGATGGCATTAAGGGAGTGCTGGATATGGGATTCTACCAGCTGCTCCACTTTGGGGCTTTCAGGGATGGTGTCTGAGGGGGCATGATTGTTCTGGGCACACAGGCCCTGGTTGAAGTTTGCCTTGTCTGCAGAGTTCTGCTGCATGTAATGGAACAGAGAAGCCATACCTTGTTTCTCAGATGGGGAGGTGCCAAAGAACTGGCTGAGGATGCGGGTGGTGACCTCGAGGCTCCGGAAGTAGCGGCTGCTCTCGGCTCGGCTTCTCCAGCGGTGAGCCAGCCAGATGCGGTCGTTGAGCAGCCAGTGTGAGTGGAGCTCAGGCAGCTTGGCTGGGGGGATGCAGTTGCTCAGGAGTGAATACAACTTTCTCAGGTTGCTTGCTGTAGCTGAGCACATTGTGCTCTGCAGGGAGGTCAGGAGCAGCTTTTCCACGGGCCGTTCAAGGGACAGCTGATAGAACTTGCCTTGGAGGAACTTACAAATATGGAAGGCTGAGAGCAGGACCTCAGCTGCAGGGAACTCCATGGCTAGAGTGGGCAGTGGAAGGAAATGAGGATCCACCAGGATGGTACAGACTCTCTCCCATGCTGGGTTAAACTTCTTGAATACCTGGAACATCTGGGCCAGGCCTTCATTGTCCTCCTTGGCAGGGATGGCAAAGTAGACTGCTCGGGCAAGATGACCCTCCAGCTGCACCCGAGGTCCGTCCACCAGGAAGGTATATAAGACCTTACCCCTTGGGTTATAGGTCCGGTGGATAAATAAGATCTCAGGGAAATGGTCAAAGACACTCTGCATAAAGCCGCTCTGGTAGTTGAAGGTATCTAACTGGGCAGTCTTGCTAACCTGGTGCAGCAGCATCGGTGGGCTTGAGTCCTTAATCAGGAGCCCATTCAGCATTGTCAGGGCCATGGCGGGGATGGGAGATGTCCAAATGCCAAGGTCAAAATATCTTCTCTGCAGGGCAGCTGTCCATGAGGCTTTGAGACTCTCAAGCTCCAAGTAAGTTGAGGCTTGAGGCTAGACAATTGTTCCCAGATCTTTTTCCAAAGATGGGCCTATGGAGAGGAACAGAGGTTTAAGGAGACGAGGAACTTGGCTCTTCAGTTATTCATCCAGACAATATTTGCTGAACATTTACTTTGTGTCAGCACTGTTCTAGGGGGAGATACACAATAAACACATACATAAGCAAAGATATATCCAATAATGAAGGTTACAAAGACCACAAGCCCGGGTAACATGTCAGAGAGTAAAGGGGGAAGGGAGGAATACTTTAAGGTGGGAAGGGAAAGCCTCTCAAGGATGATATTGGAGCTGAGACCTAAATGATAAGAAGTTAGCTATGGAAAGATATCGATCCAGGGGATTTAAATAGTATGGCCACCAGGATGGTACAGACTCTCTCCCATGCTGGGTTAAGCAGACTCAAGCCCACCGATGCTGCTGCACCAGGTTAGCAAGACTGCCCAGTTAGATACCTTCAACTACCAGGCATATGGCCTTCACACAAAAAAATAGCATTCCAGCCAGGCACAGTGGCTCATGTCTGTAATACCAGCACTCTGGGAGGCGACGTGGGCAGATCACTTGAGGTCAGGAGTTTGAGACTAGCCTGGCCAACATGGTGAAACCCCATCTCTACTAAAAATACAAAAAAAAAAAAAAAAAAATTAGCTAGACGTGGTGGCCCATGCCTGTAGTCCCAGGTACTTGGGAGGCTGAGGCAGGAGACTTGCTTGAACGCAGGAGGTGGAGGTTGCAGTGAGCTGAGATTATGCCACTGCACTCCAGCTCTAGGTGACAGTAAAACTCCATCTCAAACAAACAACATAAAATATTATTTTACATTTATAAGTGATTGGCATCCATTCTTTCCTTTGGTCCTTGTATATATTAGAGAACTGCAATTGTTCCAAACTTGCTGGGTGATCTTGGGCAAGTCAGTGACCCTCTCTGAGCCTCAATCCCTTCCACCATAGAATGGGGCTAACAAATGTGCATAGCTTCTCGGCCTCTACTATATCCCTCTTTTAGCAGCAATGCTCTATTCCAATGTTTTCTCTATTTGGCCCCAGACCGAGTTACTGTCCTCATTTTACAAATGATAAACTAAGGCTCAAAGAAGCTAAGTAACTTGCCTACCATTACTCTGTAAGTAGCTGAAAGTTGAGTCATTGGTTCGGGATCCTGACTGCTGCCCACAGTACCTGGGTTCCAAAAACCAACAGAGAGGGAATACGGCCTTTGACCTCTCCCCTGTAACCTGGGCGGGAGATGTGGATGGCTGACGTTCCCAGAGCCCGGCTGAAGCCGGATAAGACAACCTTCCTCCCACCCCTTTGGGAGTTGTGTGACGGCTGACCGCAGAAATCCGCTGTCTCACACTTAAACACCCCTTCAGGAATCACTCACCCACAGCCTAGCTCCGTCGCCATTTCTCTCTATTTGACCCTGCCTCCGACTCTGACTGACCTCCAAACTCACCAACCACGGCATCAGCATCGCAGTGACTCGGGCCAATGTCTGAGGAATTCGCTTTCAGGTTTTAGTGCTACGGACCAATTGTAGCGCGATGATTTGTATTGCCAGGGTTACGAGGGGCTCGGCTGGCGGTAACCAATGAGAACCTCATGATACTTGCGTCTGGGAGAGCTGATCTTTGAGGCTGGAGCTCTGCAGCCCCTCTCCTGGCCAGACAACTGGAAGGGCATGTTACTATGGAAACTCCCTCAAAGGCAG